ACTGTATATTTCTTCAATTCACTTCACTAAACACCAGATAAACCGACTGGGTCTACAGATTAAAAACTCTTTATGTCTTGTTCCGTTGAGGTGAAATTAAATCCCAGCACTCCATCTGTAACCACCGGCTTCATGTGTCAAAAACAGGGATGTGTGGTCATTCAATTGGACAATCCCGGTTTTGTTCCTTTTGTTCATGTGGCAGTTTACCTGTAGTCCACTTTCTGCACGCGGCCCCAGCCTCTGTTCCCCTGGCGAACCTCCACAAAGCCGCAGCATGAGAAACCTGCCAGGCTTTTTGTCTGCTCTCGCTTTCACCAAACCCCATATCAAGGCGACAGACAATGGCCTCTGAGTTCCCAAGGCAATGCAGGGGGCATTAGTGCTGGGATAAGTTAACAACTACCAACAAGTGCTGATGTTTATCATAAGGATACATGGGGTTTCAGCCTGTGGTACAATGTTGGTCTTTGTTGTTCTGACTGCACAGGCATCAAGAAACGGAAAGTAGTATAATTTGCTGCGGGTTCTGACTCATGTTGATCTTGTTCTTCTGCACCTTATGTTAAACTGACAGGAGATAAAACCTCACTGAAATGTTGGATATTCTAATGTCTATCAAAGTAATGCAGAGTCGGAGATCTACAAGGGGCTTCAAACTCTCTTGAGCTCTCTGAATTTTTCTAGTGGCAGCCCATTTATAAGGTCATTTACCCCAGAGAGACAGAATAACAACAGCTGGACCATTGTCTATGAATTGGAGACATGTTTTTAATGCAAGATAAAGCTAGAGGACCATAGGCTAGTAAAGAGTACAAAGAACCCTTGCCTGTTTTTGCTTTCTAAACCTTTTTCTAACCCCTTATTCATTGGCGTCCTGTGTTGATGAATATTTCACAGTTTCTACTCAGGTATCATCTACATATCCAGGCAGTAAATATCTCTTCAACCAGACCTTAAAAGTTGCCCTATTGGTGACTGTGGTGGTCACTAAAATGTGTTGTCATATTCAGGATACCAGTTTAAACTGATCCGAGGTTTGTGACCGGGTGCATTATTCTACCAAAGGTAACCCTAAAAGGATGTGTACATTCTGGGTGCAGTGAGGTCTCACCCCACCACCACATATAAGCATTGTAACTGTAAAGAAAAGATCCACGATTCATAGGGCCCTATGATTCCCCCGATGCAGAAAACACGGACGGAACCGCAAAATTTAGCAAATAAAATAGAATATTTTACAAAACACGTAATCTCATGGAATTCACTCTTTGGACAAGAAGTAGTATATATGTAACGTCTTTTATCCACTCCCTGCTCCCAGATATACCTACATGGGGCGCACTCTTGTTTCTAAACCAACAAGAAAAAGTAGGTAAACCATGTCTAAGAGTAATGCAGAAGTACCAACATCTTGAAGAAAATAAAAAAATGCTAAACTTAGTGCAAAGTTTAAGGCAGAACATTTTACCCATGATTTTTTTTTTAATCTGGAGACCAATTTTTCTGCAAGTTTTGTCAGCACACGGTCGACTGGAAGTGTAAGAACAGGTGTGAGGACCACTTAAAGTCAAGGAGTCACATCAGAAACAAAGAGAAAAGGTAAGCTAGAACGAGCCACACACGCCTGCAAACTCTTGAGCAATTTAACGTCGGCAGAAGTGAGAATTGAGGCCCCGTCCACACGAAGACGAACCCTGGCCTAAACGCACAAATTTTTCACCAAACCAGCCTCTCATCCACACGAAGCCGGCGTTTCGGGGGTCTGTAAACGATCTTTTTTTTATTCAGCCTTCAGAGTGGGAAGATTTCGAAACGCCGTTTTCGCGTTTCCATCTTTACGCTCTGACCACATATTTTTTTTTACACGCATGCGTCATAGCGTCGCCTCTAAACACGCATGCGCGACCAGTATCACAACAACAATGGCGCCGTTGCTGCTAATGCTACTCACCCTGCTGTCGGGCTTACAACAGAATCTTCTTCTCCTGGAATATCTCCAGGAAGAACAGAGCAATATCGACGACATAGTTCTGCACCTGAATTTGACCGAACCACGAAAATGGACCCGCAGGGCAACCATGTATAAATATTAGTGCGCATGCCCAACATTTCGTCGCTTATTTTTGCTTTGGCACCACAGCGCCACTTACAGGCCTGGCATACATTTTGCAGCGTTTTCATGCATTCGTGTGGACGCTCACATTTATTTTACGTCTCCGTCTTTACGGCAAACGTTTTGGAAAATATCAGCGTTTCGTGTTCGTTTTGACTTCGTGTGGACGAGGCCTCAGTTTATTGAAGATTTTATTGTCATGTGTGCAGAATCAGACATTCCTTGAGCAAATGAGGGAGCTTCATTTATTTTTGATAAAGCCCTGCAAAGCAAGGGGGTGCGCTGCAAGAACACATAAGCAGCCTCGCCAAACCCACCTACCCCGGGTGCATATGGGGCTGTCCAGTTGTGATTCATGCAATTTTTTGGCAAAATTTCTTTGTAAGGCTAACTGTATTGTTATAATAATCTGTAGTTATTCTAATCTCAATTAAAGGGTTAATTAATAAAGTTGGAATGAAAACTTTGACAATTAGAAAAAAAAGGTAATTAAAAAAATTGAAAAAGTTGAATTTGGGGGAAAAAATAAACAGATTTGAAATTCCAACTCCATGATCCAGAAATTTTCAAATTCTTTTTTTCAATTTTTGTGAGCCAATTTAAATCTTGGCATTTTCCTTGAAGTGCTATGTGTTATACTTCTGTTGAGACTATTTAGAATACCTTGGTTGTAAGGATTTTGTTATTTAAGCTTTCTATCATCCTGAACCAGTCTGCCTGGTCTCATTTGATCTCTGAAATGCTGCTTACTGCATAGTTTTCTCTTTCAAGCTCTTCTCTTTAAGCCAGACAAAGCGGCCTGTGTTGAAATCCAAGTAGAGCTGTTATTTTAAAAACAATATGACCAAATATGTGGCTCACACAGATATCTGTTATCCTTCCTTTGGAAAAGCTGACCCACGATCTCAATCACAGATCAGACACATTTTCGCCACGTTGGGGTCCCCTGCAGTCTTGCGGTCTGCTTGGTCACTAGGATTCTAGTTTTTTGTTTGTTATTTCCTTTTATATTTATGTTTGCTTGCTTCTGTTCTCCTCTTCTGATGGCTATATATATATATATATATATATATATATATATATATATATATATATATATATATATATATTTTTATTTTTTATTTTTCTTCTTCTTTTAATGTATGTAAGTATGTGTAAAGCGGCACATGTTTGGTCTTTGTATTGTAACTAACCTAAGTTTAATATAAAAAGAAAGGAAAGAAAAAAATACTATTACTAGTTTTTTAGGCACCATCAACCCTGAAATAAAGTCCCTGTATTTTTGTTTTCCCCACTAAAATGTTTAATTCGAAATGTATCCAGTCTAGATGTCTGAATGGATTGAATTGCTGCCATTTGACTCGCCACAGTTTTTTGTTTTTGTTTCAGCAAGTGAATTTAAACCTTAAAAAGTTGCTAGTGAAAATACATGTATTGATTTTAATTCAACATACCCAGTTCTGATGGCAATTCCAACCAATTTAATTTATAATTAGATGTCTCAAAATATGAATAAATCTATTTTTTGCATGGATCCCATATATTTTAAATAATCAGCTTTTGAAAGCTGCCTGCTGTGAAGCGAAGCATACCATCATGAGGCAAACATTACTCTATTAGTCACCAGTAATAGTGTGTGTGTGTTGCCTTACTCAGGATTTTTCTATTGTTTAACATTTTAATATTTTTATCTAATTTTTTTTTTAAGTTACATTTATGTCACCTGGAAGTCAAGGATGAGCTGGATTTGTGGGAACAGGCTGTAATTTAATCAACTTTAAGCATGATGTGTTAATTCTTTTTTTAAAGTGCCGTGCATTTTTATTATAGTTAAATAATATCTCCAATGTCTGAGCATTTAATTCTATAATAATGTTTTTGCCAAGAAATTTGCCTATTAAAAATCAGCTAGGCTAAGCTAACTAGCTTTGGAAATGATCAGTGTCTTACACTTTTTTTCTTTAACCCCTACTTGTGTTTGATTTGCAATCCCAAAATCCTACTATTTTTATCCACATCAAAAAATATTATAAGATATAAAAGGCAGAATAGAAATTATATCCAGTGAAAGCATCTTTACTCATTAGCCAAGATAAACCAGTGGGCATTAAGGATGAAAAAGATAATATATAAAAAAGAAACTATATGCTTTATCATATAATCAAATGGTTTCTAGATATCTCTTAAAAATAGAACTGTCTCATGTTTTAAATGGGAAAGAATACAATGCTGAAGGTGTAACTCTGTGTTTGGCTGATTAAAAGGCTTTACTAAAGTACAGTCCTCCTCAGGTGAGCAAAAGCAGATAAACATCTAAATGAATGCATGTGGAATATTGTTCCTTGGGGATGGTTAAGAAGGGTTAAGAAAACATTGGTTAATTTACCCCAAAATAAACCTTTTTTTGCATATAAACAGTTTAAACTGGTCCTATGCGGTGCGATTTTAATTTTACAGTTCTTTCCTGTTTTTGTTTGCATTTTCATATATGATTTTTTTTTTTTAGTTCTGCAGTATTTTGTCACAAAAAAAACACCTTAATGCTGCTATTAGTGGTTGAACATTTTCTGTTACAGGTGATTTTTTGTTTCAAACAGTGCACACTGGAAGAGGCTCTGTTCATCGTAGTTCATGCCTCAGCTGCGAGACATCCTGTCCTCTACACATTCCTCAGCTTCTGACATGGCTAAGTCACCGCCTTGGAGCAAAGGGCTTTTCTAATTACTGCAGATGTTATACAACCCGCTTTTCCTGATGGATCGGATGCCAAATCGGATCAAGTGTGTTTTGGCCCATCGACCACCTCTGGTTTGTTGGTTTGCTTTCATTTTAGCTCCTTCATTCTTTTCTCCAATGACCGCAGAAAAAAACAAAGAGAAAGAAATAGAAACATACCTTTTATTACTCTTAACAGAATATAAAACATAGCAAAATGGATGGCTTTATGTTGTTAGCAGTTGAAGATATTCTAATTCCACTAAAAGTTGGAACAAGCATTTAAAATGCTTAAAGACTCCCCAGAAGGCAACACCCACTATGTTTTCCATGAGTCAGAGTGGGCATCATCCAAAGGTGAGGATGCCAAGGTCCATAAGCTCCCTCCATCTGTCACTGATGTCCTCCTGTTATGAGCAGCTTTTCTTTCTTCCTCTTTGTCTTTATCGTATCAAACTCAATTCTACAAATATGTGGCTGGGGAAAAAAATTAAAAGTATTTGCCCCCTCATAGATTTAATCTATTTTGCTTTTTGTTCTGCTCCTTGTTTAATCAATAATCATGAAGTAACTGCCTGACCTGTAGAATAATATATATATATATATATATATATATATATATATATATATATATATATATATATATATATATATATATATATATATATATATAACTTCTCAATCTCACACAGAAACATATTGAGCTACAAAGGCCTAAATAAATACATACATTATGAGGTATTAGATATTTGAATCTTTGCATTTTTATCAACCTCTGCACATCTTTTCTGTGAATGTCTCTGAGTAGCACATTTTTTTTTAAAGCAAAGCATAAAACCGGTCAACAAACAGAATCCGTTTGAAGTGCATGGATAATTGTAATAAAAAAAAAAAGATTAAATTACAAAAAAGAAAACACCTGTAACACTGCAGAAAAAGGTTGACACGTTTATGATGCTCTGTTAAAACAAAGCATAATGGATCGTTTTAATTCTCTAAACCTTGTATTTCATCTTTCCAGTTTTGCTGATGACGCAGATATGCTGAAAAAAGAAGAGGTCAGTGAGGGAATGATTAGTTTGTGCCAAATAATGTTAAATTAATAGCATTTATATTGCTCTATAGATAGTAACATTCCATTTATACATTTAAGCAGAACATTATGTGCTCCATATATAGGAATAAATTGCATAAGACCTTGAGTTATTTGAAAGCTGGAAATGCAATCTATAACGATAAGGGACATTCATTTATCTCACTCTGGGAGTCCCAGTGGGTTTGATTCATACTTCTTTGGTGGGATGAGGACAGATAGGAGGGTGAACTTCAGCTCAGGCTGATAATGAGATTCCAAACCTCCACATTCCACAGGTCAGTTTTTCAAACTTTCCCAATGAGATAAGCCCCCTCAAACGTGCACAACAGCCACATACAGGCCAAGCATGCAGCACATACTGTACACGGGACATACAGTTCTGGGAGGTAGGTAAGCCCTTTCACACCAACTAAAGGTGAATATCAGGGCTATGGCAAAACTGAAAATGATTTATACTGACTTATACCCAACCTGAAAGTTTGGAAGGAAGAACATTAACCTCCACTTAATGAACAGGAATTAGGATAAAATGAGGGAATGTTGGAAAAAATGCATTATTAAGTAAACATATATTAAATTTCCGTTTATCGTTTTACTTATTTATTTTTTGGAATGGTTGATCAGAAAAAAAATCACCCAATTTAGAGTTCAGAGGTTGGCCTTATTAGGCAGTTGCTGCATCATCTGACAGTCTGAAAGTTTAACATGAGGCATGCAGGTTGTTTATTTATTTGGTGTGTCCTACAGACATTAGCCCCAGTCAGATTCTAAAGGTATGATATCTTTAAAATAGCTTTTTTTCTTTTTTTTTGATGAGCAGACTGACACCTCAGTAGTTCAACACCGATGCATCTATAAGCTGTAGCCTATTTTCCCAGAATGTACTTTGGGTCAAAGATTCAACATCAAGCACATCCATATTAAATAGATCCCACCTAGCAAACAATCAAAGATGGATTTAGTGGATACTGAGAAGTGACTGGCATTAAGCTAGACTCAGACAGCGATGGCAACAGCAGGTAAGGTGAAAAATGTAAAGAAAAAAAGTTAAGTAGAAGAGCAAGCTAAGAGAATGAGAAGACTGCTGCAGTTCTGTGCTTTGGCCACAGGTGGCAGTATAAATAGAAAACTCTGTAATGCCTCTAAGTTACACTGACAGTTTTCCACAGAAATATACGGAAGAGGATTAGTGCCACTGAAAAAAAAAAAAAAAAGTAATCTGATTTTTACATTTTAATTCAATTCCCAGTCCCAGTTTTCACATGGGAAAAAAGTCAGAATTCTGACTTTTTTCTCAGAATTCTGACTTTAATCTCAGAATTCTGACTTTAATCTCAAAATAACTGATAATATACTGAAAAAAAAAATAAAAAAAATCAGTTAACTTTTTTTTTTTTTCAGTGGCCCTAATCCTTATTTTTAAAAGTTAACAGCTTTTTAAAAATAAAATGTTAATAAGTTCTTTCAGCAAAATATAGAAAAGATCAGCTGTATTAAGTGCTATATTTCAAATTCTTATTGAACAGAATATCATGATCTTATTTTGCATTCCTGAGTAACAGATATCAGCTATCAGATAGTCTTTTAAAAAAATGTTTTTCCTCAGTCACAGTTGGGAGTGATGTTTTTTTCAGTTACTTTTATTTTCATAATTGAAAATATTGAATATTAACATCTACAACAGCCCATTTAGAAACACCTATGAGGTACAACAACATTTAATTTTCCTTAGGGAGCAATAAAGTACTTTTTAATTAAATTGAATATCTCCATACAGCAGATTTTGTCTTGAATAAAGCCCTCTTAGACAGGCCTTAACTAGACACCAAAATAATAAAGAACAAATAACCACAGATTACAGTTTTTGATAAGCCAGGTCCTTTTTTTCACTATCAAGTTGTTATATAGCTGTTTTATTTACTTAGCCTTATTCTGCTTACGGTAATAGTGTTTGTCATTTCTGCACATGGCTTTCTGATTCAAAGAAAAGGAGTAATTTATAGATAAATATTACTTATTTAATGCTTTGTTCATCTAAAGTATGAAGAGTGGCTGAGAGAGATGCCACTGATATTGGCCCTGATGATAAAATAATGCTGAGTCCAGAGTTCAGCAGCAGATTCTATCCACCGCTTTTTGATTTCTTTGTCTTTCAACCTGTTAAAAATCCTCTGCCAAACCTTTTCCCACAGTTACATCTAAATCACTGATATAAAAAGCCTGCAGCTGCTTTGCCTTCACGTAAAACCTCCTCAGACAGGGAGGATACCTGTTGGGTGAGTTTAGGTTTCACAAAGAGGAGAGCATCTCTTTGATTTACCGTGTTTACTCTCCCACCCCGCCTCTTTCATCTCCTATTCTCTACAGCTCTTCAAAAGTTCATGAGGTTAGCAGCAGCAACAACCTCAGGACTTACATTCAGGTCACGGAAGTACTCATTGTAGTCCAAGGCGTAGCCGACCACAAATCGATTGGGAATTTCAAATCCAACATCTGCAAAAGTAAACAGATGTTTGCATAAAGGTGTCAGGATGAGCGACACATTATCTGTATAACTGGAAACCCAACATTTTATTTCTCATTGATTCACCATGATTTTAAATTAATACCTTGAGAAGTAGAGAAACTAAGTGTAACAAAGCATTAGGTTTAAAAAATTATCTGTGTGAAGAAATATCTTTACACCTGCAATTCTTCCAAATGTTGTGTTGGTAGAAGTTCTGTAAAATTATCTCTGACAGCAATTAATATTACTGAAAAAGATGAGAAGTTCTATAGAATTGTTACGCCAGAGGAAAAAAAAAAGACAAGAATATTTCAACCCAATTTTAATGTAATTTTATTACATAACAAACTCCAATTAACTTTAGATAACTGTTATATAAACCCATTAAATGAACCTTATACTGAAGCTGGTTTTGCTGGCAAGAAAACTACATCTTAAAAAGGCTGCTCTTTAGTAACTAGCTGATAGCCCAGAATTTAATATCTATAAAATATTTATTTTTATGGTTTAGGAATGACACCAGTTTGGGATGAAATGGGAATGACTAGATATAAAATCACTACTATTTGGAAAACTGACACACATCTGAGGCTTATAGCTACAATGTTGGTAAAGATCTATATTGAAAATTTTTGTTTGCTTACATTTGTGCAATCAAAGTAAAGTTTCAATCTTTAAGGTGATCCTGTTCTCTTATTAAACTAGAAATGTTAACCATGTTGAACAAATGTAATGTACAGTATAATGTGTATTTTAATGTTGCCCAGGAACGGCAGATGGAAATTAGCTAAATCTAACACATAGCATCTTTTTTTGAAAATATAAAGTATTTTAAAGATCATATCTGCCAAATAAAATGATAAATCAAAACAAACTTAGGTCTGAAATTTCAGAGTTAACTGACAAATCCATACTATCCTCAGCCAAAGGAAAAAACAGAGCTTAAATGTTTGCATCACATTATTCAGACTAAAGAATGAAAATGTGGTTGTCAGAATACACAGCCCTGAGGAACATTGGCATCAGAACAAAGCTTTACTCTGACAAACAGGACTTTGTCATTTTTTTTCATCATATCTGATTTTTTATATATTTTATAAACTGTATAAATGTTATGAATTAAAACTGTTAAATGCTTGAGTGGAAATAATTAAAAAAGGTCCAATGGTTCTGAGAATAAAACTAAATCTATCAAATGTATCAGAACATCTACTGTAAGAGGTTGTTGAAAAAACAGAGAAGGCTTGTTGTTTAAACGGAAGCACGCTGCACATGAGAGGCTGTGATTGCAGTTATTAACGCTGATATTTCCAAGCTGCAGGGTACAGCCAGAGGCGTAGCCAGAACGTTTTTATAAGGGTGGCCAGGCAATAACCAATGTACACTGAGGGGTGGCCCAAAGTGGATCGGCGCCAGAACCTCAGGGTCAATCTACACTATTGCAACAGGAAAATTAACAAGCACATCCATATTTTCTAAATAAAGACAAACTATACTTTCCTACAGCCTTTGCTAACAAATGGACAATTATATTTAAACATCCATGCTTTCTAGATATAAGGTATAGTGGATAAAATTCTTTCAGGTTTGAGTTCTGGGGCAAACATATCTTCCTTTGTCATTACTTACCTACTTTTATCAACAATTATTCTGCATAAAATTGATATTTACAAGTACTAATATCTACAAAAAATGATTATTAAGTTTTTATTAAAATAGTTATGTATCTATGATTTCACTGAAGCCTCCTAGATGACTTTCAGAGACACATCATTTTCTCTTTATCCCCTATAACACAAAATCTAGTTCTGAAAAGAGCATGAATTATCATCTTTAATGTTAGTATATTGATGTGCATAATTAACCACATTGCTTTTGTTGTCAAGTAATTGTTAATATATGAAAAATTAAAACGTTTTGAATATTGTATTTGAGAGTATTACTGCCACCGTCTGTATTAGAGGGAATAAAATGGCAGGGGTGGCCACATGGGTGGTGCCCCTGGCCCCCATCTAGCTCCACCCCTGGATACAGCTGATAACAATTTTACTAGAAGCACAAAATTCCCTGCAGGCCGCTATGTGACCATCTTATGGCAACCATCATTTTGGATTTGAAGCAGACATGGATGGGTGGAAAAAACACCTTGATGCTAAACACTGTCCTGGTTAGACTTTCTAATATTTAGGAGGCATCTATAAAAACATAGAATTAATCAAAATTATTTTTACTAACTGTATTGTTTGCAGAAGTCAATGGTATGGGCAAACTGAAATAATGACAGGATATAGAACAAGAAAATACTTACAGTCTGTGAAACTATCAGCCATGTTAGAGACCCTCTTCACCAGCAAACTGAAACAAAACAATCAATTAATTCAGTCATTTAATTAAGGAGTTTTTAATTTCTTTTACTGAAGGAGTTTTTAAAGGAAACCATTGCCATAAACTATGTGTGCAACCAGATGATAATCTTGTTTCTGATCTTTGGGAATGTCTGAAAACTGCCTAAAGACACAAGGCAGTGACCGCAGACAAGTGATATCTTGTACTCCTGCTCATCATGCGCTCGGTATTTCCCTTACAGTGGAAAAAAGTTGAACGAGTGAAAGGACGGCTCACCCTGCGACCTTGACCATCTTGGGCTCAAAGGTCTCCACATGCTTCAGAAGAGCCTTCATAGTCTTTCCTGTGTCGACTATGGCCTGAAGGAAGGAAAGAGCAGAGGAAGTCGGAGCAATAAGGAGGGAGGGATGTGGATCATTGGACACCAGAGATAACAAGATACAAGAATGACATATGTTGTTTTTTTTCCAGAAAGTTTCTTATTTCTTGGAAAAGTTCCACATTTCAAAGGTCACCAATTTTCAAGTTGTGCTACCGTTTCTTAATGTGTTTAAGATCTCTAGTTCATGTGGTTTTAGGTCACTCATGAACAGAATTTAAAGTATTTAGGCATCCACTCTTACCAGCCTGTTTCTGAAGTAACACATTCCTACAACATTATCCAGTTTTCACCGATGCTTCATGAATAGAATGGTGGTCTTAAGTTTTTTTTTTTTTAACAAGTGATTTTTTTTACCCAATTCAATAAATAAAAGCATTTTGTTGGCCCAGTTAACAGTATTATTTTTCATCTAATCTGTAGTTTTCTGTAGCTCCTCCACGGTTAGCATCGGCCCTTCGACTTGCTTCTCTGATCCTATCAGCTTAAGTGTACGGATAATTTTTTTAGAACACATAACTGCATCAACAACGTTCAACCCTGACCTAACTGCTGTGATCCTTTGTCCTCGTGGGGCTTTTTGTTCTCTACCTTAACAAAACAGTTTTATGCTGGGATTAAACCAGGAATAGGTGGACCAAGTTTAATAAACGGGAGGCTGATGGCCTTTGTTTGCATTGGATTTTAGCAGAGGTGGGTAGAGTGAGTACCCAACAGTGTTGTGCATGAATGTGTTCACTGAATAAGTTAATATTTTTAGTGAACTTTGAACCGAATGGATCAGTTTTAAAGTAATGAACGTGAACGAGAATGACGTACACTGAGAATGATGAGCAACACACACAGAACATATTCGCATTCAATTGATAATGACACTTTTCATAGGATAACGTCAGATTTTATAGCACTTATTGCTGTAAACAGCATGACAGACCAGCATGTCTACTGCTACGTGTCAGTGCGTTCAGACTCATCTATGGATATTTCTGGTCCCAGTTTTGGCAGAGTTTTAGGAACTAACAAAGGAAGACTCGGACAGAAAAAAAAAATCCCCTTTTTGTGCAAAATGATAACTGTAACCTTGTGTCTACTTTGTAAGTCGCCTTGGATAAAAGCATCTGCTTAATGCATAAACGTAAACATAAAACGGTGAACATAAAACTTAACAAACAAGTCTGTTCCTCAGCAATGTCCACTAACAAGAGTTAAACTGTAAATAGCTTTTGTAAGGTGAAAATCAAACTGCAGCTTCATGTATGAGAAGTCAGGGGTGGGTTTTTTATAAGTTCTGTAAAATTCAGCCTAGTCCTTTTGAGTTTGCAAATTCACATATTTGCCGGTAGTGGCGTTTGATCTTTGTTGCCTTTGTTTGCTATTCAAAAAAACTAATAAAAAAAAGTTAATACTTAAATCAAGAACACTTTAAAACCAGAAAATAACCTTAAAGGCAAAAACATTGAAGTAAATGATTCCAAAGTTACCCAATAAATAACAAAAGAATATATTTGCATTCATAAAGGGGAATAAAAACACTCACCTCAACAATCAGCACACTCTTGATCACATGCAAAAGAAAAAGGTTAAAAGACATCAATAAATCATCACCTTTGAATCGTCACATTGTTCAAGCAAAGCGTCAATTAAGGCAAAGCTGTTTCCATGGGTTTATTAGAGAGGGGTTTCTATAGCAACAAAGTTGGCAGCATCCACACTCCCTTTCATGAAAAAAACACAGAAACACAGACAACTCTTTTTGTTGAGCACACTAATGAAACATCTGTTCTCTACAATGACCAGAAGTCTCCAGAGCGTCCGGGTATTGCCCGATTGCCCCGCTGCTGCTGCTGCTGCCTCTGGGGATCAGATGAATTCTTGTTCTTCTGGCTGTGAGGACTCTTTGTGAGCGTGACTATGGTTACGGGAGAGTGGTCAGTGAGAATGCAGACAGCCAGCCAATTTTTCCTTTAGTCCGCACCTGAAAACTTTTACAAAACACTTGGACACAATAGACTGATAGGGCCAAGTGAAAGCAAACACAGAAACTCTCCCCTGTCCTACTGCATGCTGTATTTGTTAAGGATTTAAGAGTCTTTGTAGATTCTTGGCAGGAATCTCATGATTTTTCATTCTAAAAAGAAGCACATGAGGGCTGCAAAACAATAAAACACTTAAATTTGACTTATAAAGATGTATTACTGCATAGATCCATTGCAGTAGCAATAATCTATTGCTTTAGTGTGTCACAAGAAATGCCACCATGTGATTAATCCAGCTGACATTTTATAATGGTGTTTACATGTGCAATTTGAAAAGTATTCAGCTTGACCATTAATAAACAGTCAAATAGAACCATAGAAAAAGTGCTTTTCTGACTATTATCCTGCCAGTTTTTGTATTTTCAGTGTTGCAGCTATTAATTAAAAATGGAGATTAGGCAGGAATTTGCTGTTTTGTATGATAGACAGATCATAAACTATCCCACCAGTTTCTGTCTTACATTTAAAGAACTGGCAAAAATTGAAAACAGCTTCTTCTCCAACTTTGCTGAGGAACTCGTACCACTGCAGTGCTTTTTTTGTTTGTACTTTTCGTTTCCCACTTATTGGGGTCACTGGGGCAGAAGTCTCAGTAGAGACTGCAAGACAATTTACTTTGCTTACTGTTTGTCAGCTTGTGTGTAAACACAAACAATTTATAGAGATCTGATATCTACTGATTGATTTTCTTTTTCTGTGGAGCATAAACAACCTTATGAGGCCATTGGGTCATCCCTTAACAAAAAGTAGTTTATTCAAGTATACTAAAAGTGCACTAATTTCATACTTAAAATCAGGCTGTGCACTTAGAGTTTACTTATTCTAAACTATATTTCATATACTTAACATTAGTATAGTCAAGTGTACTTGACTATACTATTGTTTACTTTATTATTTACTAAAGTATACTTTAAGTGTAGTAAACTTAAAAATGTCCCAATTTAGTTCGAAGAAGTATTACTTTAGTAATACTTCAAGTACACTAAAAGTACATTGTTTGGTATACTTTCTAAACTTATACTTAAGTATTCTTTATAGAATTTACTTCAAGTGTACTACTTTTTGCTAAGGGATAGCAAAACCCTGGAGGTTATAAATCCTGTTTGCCCGAGCTAGCTGGGCTACAGTGCTAATGCTAACTTAAACAAAATACAAAACAAGTTGAGAATCGATTTTAGCTGTGTTATGTACAGTTGTTTTTCTGCATTACCAGATATATCGATAAAAATAAGTAGAATATTAAAAAAAAAGGGCTTTTTGAAAGTTTTAACATATCTGTAGTGCCTAGCGCTACAGAGCTAACTTTAGCATTGGTATAAATAAAAAGAACAGATAATGTACTAAAGATTGGTATTTTTTTTTATGTTTTGTCTTTAAGCGATAAAAAGATTATATGCAAGCAAAGTAATGATTTAGACATTTTCAAATCAATGTCTCTTAATATTCAAAATGCTTCTTTGTACATTTTGTGGCAGATAGCTGTGCTGCTGTTATGTTATGCTTTATGTTAACAAAGATAGCAAAAGGAGAAGGAAGATTTAATTGCAGCTGTGTTATCATAACAAAGCTGGAAACAAATAACTGATATATGGTTATATACAGTAAGGAACATAAGTATTTGAACACCCTGCCATTTTGCTAAATTTCCCACTTAAAAATTATGGAGGGGTATGTGCATCTCCACTGTAAGAGACTTAATTTAAAGAAAAAAATCCAGAAATCCCAATATATGAGTTTTTAACTATTTATTTGTAGCCTATGATACAGCTGCAGATAAGTTTTTGAACATCTGTCTATCAGCTAGAATTCTGACCCATAAAGATCTGTTACTCTGGTTTCAAAATGTCCACCTCCACGCCATTTGTTATCCTAAATTAGATGCACCTGTTTGAGGTCGTTAGCTGCATAAAGACAGCTGTCCAACCCATACAATCAGTAAGAAGTAGCCAAGACCAAAGAGCCGTCCAAAGACCCTAGAGACAAAGCTTTACACCTCTACAAGGCTGGAATCATTAGAATCATTATCTGAGGTAGACTGTCAATCTACCTCAGATTAGGACTCCATGCAAGATGTCACCTTGTGGGGTCTCAATTATCCTAGAAATCGTCCCAGAACTACATGGAAGGAGCGGTCAATGACCTGAAAAGAGCTGGCACCACTGTTTCCATGGTTACTGTTGGTAATACACTAAGATGTATTGGTTTGAAATCATCCATGGCACTGAAGGTTCCCATGTATAAACCAGCACATGTCAAGGCCCGTCTTAATGGATGATCCAGAAGAGTTATGGGAGAAAGTCATGTGGTCAGAAGAGACCAAAATAGAACTGTTTACTCATAATTCCATAGTTAAAGGAACAAGAATGATGAGTATCATCCCAAAAAGATCCCTACTGTGAAGCACACAGCCAGAATAACCAAGTAGTGGTTCTGGAAGAAGATTATCAAGGTTCTTCTGTCGTGGCCTAGCCAGTCCCCAGACCTAAACCCAATAGAGAATCTTTGAATGGAGCTCAAACCCTGTGCTTCTCAGCGACAGCCCAGAAACCTGAGTGATCTAAACTGAAGATCTGTGAGGAGGAGTGGGCCAAAATCCCTCCTGCAGTGTGTGCAAACTTGGCGAAAAACTACAGCGAACGTTTGACCTCTGTAATTGTAAACAAAGGCTACTGTACCAAATATTAACATTGCTTTTGTCAGGTTTTCAAATGCTTATTTGCAGCTGTATAATTCAAATAAATAGTTAAAAAAAGACATATATTGTGATTTCTGGATTTTTATATATATATATATATATATATATATATATAAAGAAGAAACTGACCTCAGCAGTCATGCAGAAAAGTCGCCACCTAAGTGTTTTGTTTTTAAAAGGTCACACGCAGCAGGAAGTTGTCAAAATGTGGCCAAAATGCCAACATTCAGTCCACATAACACCAAGAATCTGCACACTCACCCTAACTAGTCATCATCGGAGCGCCTTTAAAGTACCATCGTCACTGAAAATACTTGCATGCAGAGGAAAGAAGCTTGTTTATCCGTTCCAATCTCCCCCTTTTCATGCTTTAGTTTATGAATTCCCTTCTATAAATGGCTAACTCTTTTATTTGATTAAATAGGTAAATAGTCAACATTTTCTGACATATGATGGTGTCAACCTTTCTGCTTTTAGCCACAGGAGCCTTCATTGTAGGCATATTTGTGCTCATATTTTGCTGACTTTGCATTATTTCTGCCCTATTTCATGAATTTGTCCTGACACAACACCTCAGGACTAAAATGCTCTGTAATTTTGCTTTTAAAGGACATTTTTATTCCCGGAAAAGTCTGATTATTATTATTTGACTGATTATTGTTATTTAGCCTCTAGCATTACATTCATAAATGTAGCAATAGAGAGTGTTTTTCCTGGTCAGCCCAAATGCCATTGGATACCTTTTTGAGAATTCCTGGGGATTTTATTCATATCTTATATTTATTCAGACTCTAATTTCAAAGTTTTTTTTACAAATTCTTTTATTTGTTGAAAATAAAAGTTAGGAGAAATGGAAGGGCAAAAAAAATCTGAATGTCCTCTATAATATTTTCTCCAAGCATCTGACATTCCTTACATCCTTCAGCCCATAGAGGCAGCAATCACCTTAATAAAGTTGCTCAGACATATACAATGTTCCATAATGCTGTTAAAAACAGATCAAATCTTTCTGAAAAATGTGGTTTTGAAAAATGTAGATGAGGAAATTAAGGGAATTCAGTGTTCTTATCTAAATAATATCCACACACTGTAGTGTCTTCCCATACCAATACTGGACTGTGAATTACTCCAATGCAATACTGTTCCTCTCCATACTTTTTAAACATGTGTGAATCCAGGGTCCAAATAGACTAACAAGGCCCCCTTCAGGCGGAGGTTTTATTCTCAGAGGAACTGAGACGGTAAAATATGCACAATTACACACCTTTCCACGTAGAAAAGATAGATCACTGCTTCCGATGATGTGCAGGTCCTCTGTTGATTGGTCATTCTAGGCGGGAAGAAAAAACAAAATAGCTTATAGTTAGTGAGTCACTGCTAACAGCTTTTGATTTATTTTTTAAAGGTCAGCTGTTTTTATAAAAGGTTCCACAAGCTAACATCTGAAACTTAATTTTACATAAAATATGAAAACGATATGAAAACAGCAAACAAACCTTCTAGTGCTTTTTTAAAATTCAATGCACTTTAATTGATCATTATAGCATTAATTCACAACACGTCATCTCAAGGCACTTTACAAAGACAATTCAACCGGATCATACGGTCAGATTGATTCAATCTATCTAATGAAAACCAAATGACTGCATCGACTCATTGACTCTTCAGCAATTCTTCACACCACAAATGCTTGTAGCGACAGTGGGGAGGAAAACTCCCTTTGAACAGGAAGAAACCTTCAGCAGAAGAAATTAATTAGATAGTTCTGCAGACTTTCTTTCAAAATACGGTCTTTTTCTTCTTTAAGCGTCAGTCCAAATGTTAAACTGGAATAGCGGAGGACAAATGAATAATTAATCCTTTTAATTATCAGGCTTCTCTCCTGTGGAACCAACTACCAGTTTTAGTCCGTGAGGCAGACACCCTGTCTAGTTTTAAGGCTAGGCTTAAAACTTTCCTTTTTGATAAAGCTTATAGTTAGAGTGGCTCAGGTTATCCTGAGCTATCTCTATAGTTATGCTGCTATAGGCTTAGACTGCTGGAGGCCATAGGGACCCCTTTTTCATCATTGTACTTCATTCTATCTCTAACGTTCTGCTCTCTCTGCTTTTTCTCATAGTAGCTTCATCTGGTCTGTTCATGTTTGGCTGTGACTCCATCCTGGAGAGAAATATCAGCTGTGCTGCTGCCATCAACACCTTTGTTTATAGATGTTCCAAATTGGTCTCTTTTTCCAGTATAGTCCTGTTTCTCTGACTAAAGCCCCATTTACACTACCCTTGAAAAACCGATCCAGGCCGAGACCGGTGCGAGCTTGGATCGGTAACCAGGCCAAGCTCAGTTTTGACGACCGTTCACACGTCACACTTATCTCATTTATCTCGACTCCTCGACTCCTCGCCTCCTAGTGACGATGTGCGGTATTACTGCTAGGGTTGAAGGAGGGACTCAAGCAGCTGGTGGCGGTAATGCACCAAACGCTGTTTGTCAACCGCCGTAAAACCCAAGAAGAAGAAGACGAAGGAGGAGGGAATCAAGCAAATCAAAATGGCGGCGCCCGTCACATTCAGAAAGTTATGCTTGATTATTATTGCTGTACTTCGGTGTTTGCGGTGGGTCAGGCGAAGACGGCAACCTTGCGCGGATGTACTTGAGAAAGTCGGCTTTTGGGAAGCCGACAGAAAGTCGGCTTTTGGGAAGCCGACTTTCTGGAATGGAGTGTGAATCGGCATGTTCAGCCAGTCGGCGATGAAGCCGAACCCACCTCGGGAACTGGTCTGCAGTTAGCGCGGTCCGGTTATGTCTATCTCGGTTCAGTTCAGGTTGTTTCCGTTCACACACGACAAGTTATCTCAGTTACTGAGCTCGGACCGGTCTCGGCTCAGTTTTTTAAGGGTAGTGTAAACGGGGTATAAGACTCGCTCGATGTGCTCTCTTCATCCTCTGACATGGGAGCTGGCTCAGAGCTTGTCTGCCTGGCTGTGTGTGGAAGGAGCCGCCTGTGGAGTTGGTTTACAGCTGCCTTTTGTATCTATGCTTCTGTCTCCTTGAACCTCAGTCGGCCTCGGCAGATGGCCGCTCACACTGAGCCTGGTTCTGCTGGAGGTTTCTTCCTGTTAAAAGGGAGTTTTTCCTCTCCACTGTCCCTACAAGCATGCTTAGTGTGAGGGATCAACATATTCTAATTATCAGTTCATATGAAATCGTACGAAAAGTTATGCACACTATTTTGTACGTTTTGGACGTTTTTCCTCAAAAAAACAGATCAGTGAGCATGCGCTGGCAGACAGAAAAAAAACCCAGATCTGCAGACGGACGTAAAACTGGGAAAAACAGTGCAATAATCACTTATTCATGTCTCTAACTACGTTGCTTGCTGTTTTATATCTTAGGGTTAGGGTTAGGGTCAGGGTTAGGGCTAATTGTAATTTATATTCTATGTTCTTGAAAGGGGCGTAAGATGCGCATGCGACGAAAAAAACGTCCAAAAAGTGCGAAATTACGGTGCATAACTTTTCGTACGATTTCATACGAACTCATAATGAGAATACACTGGAGGGATTGCATTTGAGTCAATGAGTCGATGCAATCAACTGGTTTTCCTTAGATAGAAAACTTTGAATCAATTTGACTGGATGATCTGGTTGAACTGTAAAGAGCCTTGAGATGACATGTGTTGTGAATTGGCGCTATATAAATAAACTGAATTGAACTGAATCAACGGGCTGAATAGTAGTGCTACGGGGGAACAAATCCTACAAATAGCTCTAAGATATCACAGTTTTTCTGCAAGTTTTTCTTTTATCTTTTTCTTCTTTTAAAAGGTTTAATTTCACGTTTTATAGGTCAATTCGGACTTTTTCAGGAAACTCAATTTAAAATAGCTTATTTTTTGTGAAGTTTCTTGTCATGTAAATACAATGGCTCTGGGGCTGGACCGAAAATGAATGAAGTACCAGAAGAACAATAACACAATTGTAGAACTAAAGCCGAGGGCCACACTGGAAGAATGCAAAACGCTATGATATCACCACATAATAAAGTGATGAATTACCCTATTTATTTACACGTCCTCTATCCCGTTTTTATATACATGGTTAAATTTTAAACATTTAAACAACTGTAATATTATTTTTCACCTTCTAAACTCAATATATAATTCTCTTGTGCAGGAAATGGAGTAAAAGGAATGAAAACACTAAGGGAAACATAATTTAGCTGTGTGCCAAAACACACCTTAGTATAACAGTAACCAGGTAACAACGCTCAAAATTACACAGTGGTTAAATTACATCTTTTTATTTATTTTTTGTTGTTTTTTTTTAGGTGTGCCAATGATTGTTTTATTTTTTGTTTGTTAATAAAGTTGCATCTATATTAGTGGATCACGTGTCATTTCGCTTCACATCTCATGAGAAGGATTTTCATGGCATCCTCCTTGAGGCTTCCCGAAATAAACCCTTACTAAATAAGAGCAACAGTGACATCTAGTGGACAAAGGCTGAAATGTCTTACCTGTTGAGTTCATGAGCAAACTCATGAATCTTTATCTGCGTTATCTTCTTTTTTAAAATTCTATTTATAGAAATTCTACCTTGATAGAAACTGAGGACATAAAAATTAGAAATAGTGTTAAAGCTGAAAACTGCTGTTTTTATTATTATTATTATATATTTAATAGTAACTGTGATAGTTTTATTATATAACAATTTAAACATATAGACCATGCTTTAAGTAGCTCTGATGCAAATGGATAAAAAGCCTAAAAATAAATGTTTTTTAACGTAGCTGCATAACTTCACACAAAGAAATGTGGGGAAAAAAATCTGCGGCTGCTGCAGATGTGCAGTTTTAAAGATCGACCTGAGCTTTTAAACAGTCGACCTGCGCTTCCATCCTCACCTATGGTGATGAAATCTGGGTCATGAGCCACAGAAGGAGACAAGGGCCTGAAATCAGCTTCTCAGTTTATTTGGAAGAGACTATGGGATTGTTATGAACAATCTGATAGAGCCATGAACTTTAAGTAATAAATAAATAATAAAGCAGGGTTGGGGTGTTACTACCCGTACGATTATAGAGTCAATCTTAAAAGCAGAGGTCCTGCAGAGCATCTCATGCCAGAGCAAAAGCAGAAGAGGAAACAAAAACATTTTGGTTTTCCTCCAGAATTTCTGACTCTGCTTGAAGTTTTGCAGGTCGTTTGGTCGTCTGGATTAAGTGGCATCTGTGCCAATGAAGGTGAAACCATCAATTCAAGCTTGCAGTAGTTTTCTTTTTACGAAGGAAACATGATCAAAGTTAAAAAATAATCACACAGTTTGCACCTGAATCTACTTGAAGGACGTGTTCTCTTGTATTTCCACATTTGCAGACTTGCTAATATTAATGAGCAGTATTAATTTCCCCACCTAATGAATCAGCTTCAGCTAAAGCTTAAGTTTCTATTAAAATCTTTGTATGAGAGTTCCCCTCTGCAATAGTCACTACATTCATTTTAAGATTTTACTCAGCTGCAAGAGCAACTCCAGTAATGGGTGTGCCATTTTTACTACTCTTTCCTTTCTGAGATGTGGGTTTTCCATGGCCGTAGATTCTATTTAAACATTTCAGTTTCTTTTATAGTTCCTATAATCACATGTGATCCATTATGCTGTCATTTGTCTATTAACTATGCAGCTGACAAAGATTTCTCCACTGCATAATGAGGAGTATCTCTAGTTTAAAGCAGACTGCCTACCAAGTAGCTCTTCAGGCGGATAAACTCCACCCGTGTCTCCAGGTACCGGTTGGAGCTGCGTCCAAGAACCTTGATGAACTCCACCAGATCTGCACAGAACTTGTATCCTCCCTTCAAGACGCACAGCACCATGATCTTGCTGTCCTCAAAGTCCTCCATGACGTAGCGAGCCAGGCGCTCTATCCTTAAAAGGAGAAATCCCGTTCCAAAGATGATGATTAAGAAACATTTCAAGCATGTTTGTCCCTACCTGTTCATGATCACTCCGTGAGGGATGTAGATGTTCTCGATGTCATGGTGGTAGTGTTCAGGATAGGTGAACAGATCCAGGCTGTAGCCAGGCCAGTCATCATCGATCTGGAACAGGCAGCAAAGTCACGCAGACTCAAGGAGCTGGTATACAACCCCAACCTGAGCTCCTCGCAATAATCTTTGTTCATTTTTAGAAAGTTGTACATTCATGCAGGTTCTTAAAGAAACAATCCTAAAAGAAAACTTTTATGATTTTTTTTTTTTTTTTAGAGTACAGGGTAAGCTGGTTTTCTGCTTAAAAAGCATGACTCAAAAGATTAAACAACATTTTAACCCATATTGGTTGGATTTCTGTGAAAACGAGAGGTGCTTTAAAAAGGATTTACAGTAGCTTTATCAAAAAATAATCACAGGGAATAAGAATTAGATAATAATCCTAAAAAAAAAATGGATTATTTCTTAATGTTTTGGTTTCGAGTTTGCCAGGCTTTATTTTACCCACTTTAAACGTTCCCGATCAAAGGTTCTGCAAGCTGTTCTTTAGACTTGATCTCTTTTTTCTTTTATTTCCAGTCTTTAATGTTTTTGAAGTTTAAAGTGCTTGTTTATTGTGAAGGTCTGAGGAAGTTTTGGCTCCATCACAGTAGAAACTCACTGAATTGCAAAAGCATGGCATCATTTTGTCTGTGCTGCAAAGTTGTAAAAAAGACCCTTGTAATGCTGGCAGTCCAGGTAATTGAAAAAGTTAATAACTAGTAAACACTCGAGTCTCCAGAAGGGAAAAAAAATCACACATGCTGCCTCCTTTTCAAGTCAAGAAAATCTTCAGAAATCTTCCATGCATGGTCTTAAAATCCAGCATAGAGCTACACTTAAGATGTGGCTCCTTCTGATGGTCAAAAGAAGGGTGAAAGGTCACTGATAGATGCACAAAGAACTATCTAATTATTACAGTATTTAATTTAATGGTAATTTAACAAAAGAAGACTTGACATTTTTGTTATTGGCACCTGCAAAATAGTCAGAGCATTTTAATAACTAGTCATTCAGAAAGGCCTGCTTATTATTTTTTAGGTTTGCATAACAATCTTTACATAAAACAATAAGTTAATATGCATTTTACACAGTAGTCCATGACTTTAACTTCCTTCTTTTACAATAAAGAAATAGAGGAAGAGAGAATAATCTGTGGAGGATTTCCCCTCTATGTGTCATATTGGGAATTAAATACATTTTCAGATACTGGATTTTCAGATACAGAGTTAAATTTTGCTTGTTTGCAGATTTAATGGACAGTCGGTAAAAGAAATATGGCTCCCTGCTCACCATTAGAGAACTGCAGAGTTGAAATGCATCAACTATTATGCTGCCTACATGCTCACATGTTGTTTGGAAGGCATGACACAAAGAAGTCATTTCTGTTCTACCATTTATGTAAACTAAAATTCAGTGTGAAATTCTGAAAAATCAGCTGACATCCATTGTTAAGTACGGTGGGGAACCTGTGATGGTATGGGCATGTGTTTCTTCCAAATACCTGCATGATATATCTGAAATACATATCAGGATATTTCCAAATAAAAATCTATCAGTTTCTTTTTTTTTTTTCTTATCTCAGGAAGAAGATTTTCTTCCATTTTTTTTGAAAAATGTGATTGCTTATTAAGAAGAAATCTAAAGATAAAGGCTAAAAAGGTCTAAAACGGCTGCATAATTCTGTAACTCTAGACTTCTCTGGTGTCTTTTTGTTTTTAGTCTCACTGGAAATAATTAGTTTGACTTCACACAAAGCCAGGAACTGATCAGGACCACCTTAAGGGATTACAATCAATTCTGGCTGCTTTAAAGGGAAAATATTAAATAGCTGCTGATTTAAAACATTTGAAAGTAACAAACACTCCCTGTGACTTACCACAATTCCTCTTTTCACTTTAGTATCATCCATCGGCTTTGGAGATGACATGGTAAAAATCAGTCGCTGTGGGAGTAAAGGGTTGTTATCCTTAGAGAAAACACAAGGAAGTAGTTTAGCTCATCTAATCTTGACATTTTTTATTTTAAAATGATAGTTAAAGAAGATCCGCCTTTACTTCCTTATCTGTTACTTTGTGGTCAGCAGCAGCTTGTGGAGTGAAGAGGAAAAAATGTTGTTTTCTCCTGAGAGAAAACAACATTCTTTTCCCCAGAGTTAAGTAGAGAAGACCTGCCTGCCCGGCCACACAGGCAGCATGATCACGCTTCAGTCATTTAGGTAAAAGAAAAGCTTTGTTTCCGCCATGGAGACTTAGGCTGGGTAATCAGCCTCATGTGATACCAAGCTGGCTTGCAGTGGGTTGGTGGATATCGGGTGGAAGCTTTCAGGGCCAAAACTCTAAATCTAGTAATTATTGCTTCTAGTTGTCATTTCTTCCTACAGTGGACTCTAAATGTAAAATATGTAGTGTAAAAGTACATTATTATATCAACATTCACTAAGTAGAGAGTTAATGTAACACTAATGCAGATTGGGACCAAATGCACTGGGATTGGTGTTAAATTTAACTCTTAAAGTGTTACTTTAACCCTGCTAAATGTACGTGGCATATCTTGCACCGGTTATTTATATCTATGCATTTTTGCCGCAGACAGAAACCGGAAGCTGTATATTAAAAATAAACATTTGATGGAGGAAACAACGTAAATGTGCATAAAGATATGAGGGGCAAACAGAGACACAGAACCTGAGAGAAAGAAACCTGCAAAAAAACGATAAAACCAAGGGAGCTAATGCTGGGTGTCATTTAGCGATGAAGTGAGAGCTGGAGTGATGTAATGATTGCATCTTAGTTTCCTAGCAATGGCATTCTTTATGCTGCCATGAAAGCAACTTTTACAGCAATAACAATGACAAAAACACTGTTCTATGTCTTTTTTTTTTTTTTTTTTTTTTTACAAATTGACTTATTATTATGAGAAAACGGTCGAAATGTCACTTTAATAAGAAAGAACTGCTTAGAATGGTGAGGGTAAGAAAGTTTTAACCCCCTCCCCCCAAAAATAAATGAATAAATAAAATAAAATCAACAAAAATTCCAGAAAAACTAAACACCATTACTGCTATCTTACAATCTAGAGTCATTTGAACCAGCCTGGTTAAAACAGATCTGGTAGACTCAGCCTTATTCTGCTGCAGTCTAAACCTCTGACTCTATTTACCTTCAATGATTAAAGAAGATAGATCCCTAAATATATAAACACTCACTGCTTACACTTTAACTTGGCTTTTAGAAAATATTTCTTTATATTGGTTTTTATTTACTCATTACTGTTATTTTACCTGATTTAATTGCTATCTTGTGCTGTGTATTTTCCTTTATTCTAAAATATTGATAGTTTTATTACTTAATTGTTCAATATTTTCTTTTTTTATTGTTAAATAACATTGTTTATTTTATTAACTTTGACTGTATTAAAGTATTGCCCATTTTCATATCATCCATAAACAGTTATTAATTATCGATATGTGGCAATGTCTTCCTTCCATTGGGGCAATGAAGAGTAAAACTGAACTGTCATACTGAGGGCTCTGCCATAACTGTTTGTGTGGCGCCATCTACAGATCAAAATAAGTGTCAGCAGGCTGCACATTCCTGTGAAATTGCAGCCTAAAACAACATCAGCATTTCTACACTCCAAAAACTACACAAAGACATGAACCTGACAACAACAACAAAAGAAGGAAAGAAAAACAAAACCATAACCACTGTCCAGCCATTGTACACATTCAGTTTGAATCATTGCAGATAATAGACACACATACATGTTAATTAGGACTATGAAGAGTGGCGTACAGTTCTGTAATTCATCCCAAGGGAAATTAAGGTGTATGACAGCTTACATAAATGTATGTCAATGTGAAACAATTTTTACATTAAATAATGCATGGAGATGGATCAAAAACAACAGTGGAGTAGGGTACATTTATATATTATATTCTCAAAAAAAAAAAAAAAATAGGAAAAGTGGAAGTGCCTCAGCCGGATTCGAATCTGTCCTGAACCAAAAAGATGCATTTAAGGCAGTCACTTTAACCATTACACCACTTCTCAATAGTACAACATGGCAAACTGTTCCATTAATTCCTTTAGACCACATGACATTTACCCAGGGTCTTGGTAAGAATGTGCGTTTTTAACTGTATGGCAGGCTATTTTGACATTTATTAGCTTGACTGAATACTGTATGTAAGCAAGATGTCTCAAATGCATTTCTTCCTAGTCATAATGAACTTTTTTAAAATGTATTTTTAATTTTTTTTTCCTTATTCATTGATATTGTGCTTTTACTTCTAGATATCTAAAATAAACATTCTTCCTATCTGAAAATTAATTCTGACGAGGATGAACTCTAATTTCAGATCTCAATAATAGAGTTTTTTCAAATAATAAAAAAAAAACCTGCTGGCTAAGGATAAGGTTAAATACAGTAAGATTGTTATTCCTGCTGGCGGTAATAACACCCTGTAACACCGATCAAAGGGCACTAAAATCAGTGTTGCTTTGGTCTATACGTTTATAAAAACAATGTCGGACGCTGTAATTTTCTTTGGTCTCCTCCCTGATCTGACCAGTGATGACAAACTTTCATCTTTCTTAGTCTTTTAAAGGAAATAGGATTTTAATCTGTATTTTTAAAGTCAAATAAAGTCCAATTTAAAGGAAAATCTGCATGTTAATCTAGTTGAGCTAATCAGAAGAATCTTATCCTTTTGTTATTTTTTTAGAGGTCATTTATCTTTAGATTACACAATATATGATTAAAATCATAAAGTCTTTGAATTAGTGAGTTTAAGTGTGGGTTATACTCCACTGCATCAACTTACATTGACACGGTATTTGATTGAAATAAGAGTGATTTTAAAAAGGGATGACTTTAACTGTAAACACGTTTTAGATCTTCACTGTGGGCTCCAGTTTTTGGGAATCCTTTGTGAAATAAACCAGCGCAACATTTGAAATATCTAATTAGATGAAATGATTCAATAGGAAAACACAAAGTGATCAGTTTTCTCGGTTTTTATCCAAAAGGGAAAAATATATATCTTATACCATACATCTAAACCTTAAATCTTTGTAAGAAATGACAAAGCATCAAACAGTTCAGTGTACAAGTTGTAACCACACCTGCAGCTCACAGGAATGTCAATAAAAAAATAAATAAATGTAAATCCCTTTATCGTCCCGCAATGGGGAAATTCATTCTCTGCATTTAACCCATCCCCTGCAGTGTGGGATTAAGGGTTTTGCTCTGGAACTCAGAGTGGAGGCTGTGGGGATCAAACCAGGTACAAGCATCGTTCTCAGATCACAAGCACACTGCTCTAACCACTAGGATGTAGAAGAGCATCTTATCAAAAAAGATGGGATTCAAACCCACGTGTGCAGAGCACAACAGATTAGAAAACCACGGCTTTAATCTCTCGGCCACCTCGTCTCTAAATTAGAAAGCTATCATACATTCCAGTCCAGCTCCCCTTCACATTTACATTCCTTGGTGCTCAGGTTTTGGCCACAAGTTGTGATATTAAAGCGTCGTGTTTTATTAGCACACCTTCTAAGGATTTGTCAGACATCCAGAATGATCTATATGATATATATTACATCTAATGATTTAAGAGACACATTTAGATTTATATATATACTCTACAAATATGACAAAAAAATGTATTGAACAATTAAGAAGCTTCTCTCTGAAACTCCAAATACAACCCAGAGCTAAAGAAACACACTTTACCATATTTTCTATGAATGCAACAAAACTAAAACATTTTGTTAAAACTTAGAAAGATGGATGAAATGGACATTAATTCTGAAGCATACTGCACCCCTTTATATGCACTTTGTCATTTTATGTTTAGATTATCATGACCTGATATTCCCAATACCTCAATGTACCTCATGCACTTTGTATATTTGAAATAATGTTTAGTCCAACATGTGTGTGTACATATATTGGTATAATAATAGTTAAAGAAAACAAGCATAACGTTGATTACGATAAAAAGAAATAGTAAAGTTTCTCCATCAGCAGCTGTTTACGCTGTGAGTGAACGCCTCTTTTACGCTGTGCTGCATCATCATGGAGAAACAGCTGCTAACTGAAGCGAGCACATTTTAATGGGATATAGTATATCCCATTAAAATGTGCTGGAATCTAAAACCTCATTATTGGTATATCCGATATACCAATAATGAGGTTTTAGATTCCAATTAGAAGCAGAGACAATTGACAAGTAAATGAACTATAATACAGATTACCTATCAATAAAGAATCAACTGAATTCTTTTATTTGACTTCTGCCTTTTAATTGCTTTGTTACCATATATATATATATATATATATATATATATATATATATATATATATATATATATATATATATATATATATATATATATATATATATATATATATATATATATATATATATATATATATATATATATATATATATATATATATATATTTAACTGATGCAAAGCAGGTTTAGTTCTTGTTTGCGTTTTTTTTTTTTTTTTAAGATTTGAAGATATACAGGACATTTTTTTTTTCTGAATTCCAAGATTCGTAATTGTCTGTAAATGCACTAAGTGCAATAAAGTTTTCTTAAATATCTTTCGGACGGAATCTATTACTGTGGCAGCGTCCAGCTGTAAGGCTCTGAGCCTTTCCCCTCCTCTCTGCTCCCTCTTAGTTTTTAATGGTTTATTATCCATTAATAATAAACCATAAACGGAGCATTGTCTCTAAACCCAACCACCTCAAATTAAAAACTAAAAACCTGGTCGGATGGTGAGCTGAGCTACGGGCTGAGGAGGGAGACACTTCAAGTTAAGAAACATAATCGGCCACGTTTATAAATCCTAAAATCAATTATTTTGTTCACACATTCATTCAAATACTGAACTCTTAAGAACTCAAATAAAATGGTTTATAAAGTTCTGACGGAGTTCAGCGCATGCGCAGGCCCAGCGAATGGGAACGCCCCTGCACCGCTGTATTCGTTCCATTGTGGGCGTGGAAACTGATTACGTCACACACATTCACAGATTTTCTATGAGTGAAGCTTTACTCAGCCATATCATTTCCCATACGGACAGCGTTGCAGGCAGACTGACTGCACTTTTATCAAACTTTGAGAATTACCCAGAAGGACTTAAACCAACATCAGAAATGGCTTCTTCTGATCAAGGAATGAACAGAAACATCTCCATCTCCATTCCA